ATTACCATTATATTAAATAGAAACTTGAGCTCAAAAAAAAAACAATAAAAATTTCAACATTCCAAAGATGCATTCCAAAATCGAATTTGCTCGATTTTGACCTTTATTACCACTGCCAATAGGGAATTAATATGTGATTGAATTATTTAAAATGCGGACTCTGAAATTATAAAAAGAAATGAACTTTCGAAAATTACGAAACTAACAACAAACAAAACGAAAGAAACTCTGATAAATCTACTAAATTAACGACGACGAAAGTTCAAAAATATTAGTTTGGTCGAAAATGTTAATTTGCCACTAATAAAAAATTCAACCCGTAACACTCTCTTCAGGAATTTTAGATATAATAATTGGTCGATCTTCAGTGGATAAGTCTAGATCAGGGTCCATAAGAAATATTGGTCCCTGTCACCATAATTCATTTTTTAGTAAGTCATGGGGGAAAATTCCACGAGAAACGATATCGGCAGCAGTGTCAGCTGACCGGACATGTGGCCAGATATAATTATTAGTGAGGGCTTGAATTTGAGAAACTCTATGTGCGACAAATACCGTCCAGCGACTAGGATGGCCTTTGCACCAACATAGTGCCACTTGAGAATCAGTCCATAAATTTACAGAACGGAAGGATAGTTTTTTGAAAATATATGTGGATATGGAAAGTATCTTTCTTTTAGTAACTGGACCTGACTCTATTTTTTCCGGTACTGAAATGCACAAATTGTCAGTAGAGGGATTCCACTTCAATCCCAATACTTTGTTAGGGGTATCATCGGGGTTAATATCATAGATCATAGAAGTTGGCTGCTCTCCAACAGCTTCCAACAGCTCGTAAAAATATTTCATCATTGGAGCAATATTTGTGAAGTTGGAAACCATGCTTGTTTAGAAGAGTAGTTAATTCAGAATGGAGATTGATAAGGGTATCACGATCATTCGCACCGCATAGACCGTCGTCCATATAAAATTGGGATGAAATGGTTTCCGAAGCAAGGGGAAAATTTTCTGAATTAACAGATGCGATTTCCTTTAAAACTCTCGTGGCCAGGAATGGAGCACTGTTCGTTCCATAAGTAACAGTGTTAAGCTGGATACATCTCAATTTGGTGTTTGAATTTTCACGCCACAAAATGTTCTGTAGGAATCGCTGTTGGGGGTTAATTAAAATTTGCCTGTACATATTTTTTTTAATGTCTGTCGTGAAGACAAAAGGGAAAAATCTGAAGCGACATAAGATGTCGTACAAGTCCGCTTGAACTTGATATGCTTTCAAGCAAATGTCATTCAATGAATAACCAGAAGAACTAACGCAGCTAGCATCATAAACTACACGTAGTTTGGTCGATACACTTGATTCGCGTATGACGCATAAATGTGGGATAAAATATTTGTTTTGAAATTTATAATTTTGTAAAGTTAAAGGAACATACTGTGCATGCCCTAAATCGACGTATTCATTGATAAATTCACTTTATTCTTGAAATAGGGTATTGTCTTTTCGAAATCTGTTTTCTAATGTATTTAAACGTTTTTTGCAGGCTGTAAATGAATCGCCAAGTTTATCTACCTCTGACGTAGATTTTAGGGGAATATTAACTTGAAATTTACCGTTTTTTAATATCTCGGTAGTAGAGCAGAATATATGTTCAGCTAATTTTTCCTCTTCAGTTAAATAACCCTTTTCTAAAGGATGTTCAGGAACTTCTTCCGTATGCCAGAAATTTTGTAAGAATTTGTCGACCTTAGAAGTTGACAGAAAGGAACAATAGGATGAGTTTTCTTCCACAGTAGTGATTAAGGAATTATTGGCTTGGCAGAAATGAGAAACAGTGAATTTTTTAGGGAGCACTCCGGCGACTATCCAACCAAAATGAGACTCCTGCAATACAGGAAGATTTCTGCCCAGTTTTACAATATTATTTATAATTACATCGTAGCAAGGCCGATAATTATATCGATTTCTGAGGGTTCGAAAAAAGTGCTGTCTGCTAAAATAAGATTTTTTGAGATGTCTAGTCTGTCGACCATAATTTTATATTGGGGAAGTTTGCAAGTTAAGTTTGGCAATAGAGCACAAGAGACTTTAAATTTTTCATTCAAATCAGAATTGGAATAAATTTCGACATCTGCCATTCTATTGGCAATTGTAGAACTTTGACTTATACCTGATATATTCATTGAGACATCGTAAGTATTGCACTGTGATTTAGTTACTAATTTTTGGGTAATAAACGATATTTGAGTACCTGTATCAAGCAAAGCTTTTACCTGAATTGGTTTACCTTGTTTGGAATACAATATAACTTCAACTGTAGCTGAGAGTATATGAGAATTTTTATTGATAAGGGAGAGTGGCTACTACTATTCTTCAAATTTATGCTATTTTCAGAGTGACTACCTGTTGAATTTACCCCAGAAACTTCACCTGAAAAAGAGACGATACCTGGTTCATTTTGGCTTGAATGTTCACTATTATTTCTAGAGTTATTATTGGAGTTATTTGGCTGAAATCTGGGCTGAGAAGAATGTTGGGAGTGAGGGTTATTTCTGCCAGAAACGGAAGGTCTTGGATTGAGATGTTTTACTGAAATATTTCGTGAATGTTGTTCCTCAAATTCTTTGTTAAAATGGGGCAAAGTATTGTGTGATTTGGAACAGAGACTACATTTTTGAGTGGATGAACAATTTTCTAAATTATGCTTGCTTAAGCATTTAAAGCATAATCTATTTGCTTTAACAAATTTCGTTTTTTCCTGGTAAGAAATATTTTTAAATGCAAAGCAAGAATATATCCTGTGCCCAGATTTGTTACAAAACGCAGATGTTTGATTTTGTGAACTTTTTATTTTTTCGAAGTCACTTGCTGTAGTATGATTGATAGAAATAGTTTTACGTTGAGTTTTAGGACTTGATAGTTCCATACTTTCCAAAATAGTACAGCGCCTTTCCAGAAATTTTAAAAATGAGTCCAAAGTTGGTATTTCAGATTGATTTCGTGCAGTTTCAAAGGCTCTTTTAGTATGGAAGTCCAATTTCTTTTGAAACAAAAATACAAGCAAGACATTCGAAAGCTCTTCGAAGGAAAGGTTTAAGTTTGATAGAGATTGGCAATTCTTATGTATTGTAGTTGTAAATTTGCGTAGTGAATTTGACTTACATTTATTGATGCTTGGAGCATCCAGCATTGCAGCTAAATATGAATTAATTATAACAATCTTATTTTCATATCTTGACTTAAGAATATCTAGTGCAATATCAAAATTATCATGCGTTATTTTAAGAGAATCAATTAATTGCAAAGGTTCTCCTCTCTCTGAATATTTGTAAGCTGAGAAATATTTGTAATGAGAGCGTCAAAGAGCTGAAAGAACGACTCAAAGTCCTTGACGTCCCCAGCAAAACCCTGGATTTTTATATTAGGCAACTTTACAGAAACAGGCGGTAAATTACTATTCATAGCTTGACTAGCTTGAGAATTATGATGAGAATTGTTGCTAATGGACGGGGTAGGACTTTGAGATTTACCTAACAATTGTATACATTTGGTTAAGCCACTTACAAAAGAAAAATATTTGTCCTCAACAATAGATCTGTCCTCGGTATCAGCAGGAATCTCCTGGGAATCTAACAGTTCAACATTATTTTGCTCTTCTTCGTATTTATCAAATAAAACACGAAGTCTCTCTAATCTCACTTCAAATTCTACAACATCTGGGGTACTGTCCTTACTCAAGTCTTTATTATTTTGGAATCATGTCTCGATTCGCGTTATAGAGCTCTTTGTTGAGGTTCTAGACTTTCTTAAAGTCTCAAAATTCATATTGAAAAAATTTAGAAAACTAAATTTAATTTAATGCCTACTGTAAAAATAACTAGGGATTAACAACACTATATTAGATAGAATAAAAAAGAAAACGCAATTCTCGGAACGCTCAAAAGAAACTAAAAAAAAATTATATACGTCTTGAAAACATTAATAATAAAAACTATCTATACAAGTTTGGCTGTTTTTCATTAGTAAAAAAGCACTCGAAACAGCATACGTGAGGTTGAAAAAAAAATTGTTCAATGCAAAATGTTTTTGGAAAAATATTTAGGACAGTACTGAATAAATCGGATCAAATACTTCTTACCAATACAGACGTCTTTCACCCTGAACCTCATTAATTTCACTCATGTACTTGAAATTCGAAGCACACTGTGTAAGCAGAAGCAGGTTCAATATCTTCTTCAACAAGCCTGCAGGCTTTCCAGACTTTCTGGAAAAATCCGACTCGAACGACCAAATGACGGGAGTGGACTGTATATATTAGAAGTTTTGTTGGTAGGTTGAAGACATTATCCTGTGAGCCTGGGTTAAAGTAAAATACTTCTATTCGGAGAAAAGCATTTAACCAATGAGTTTATTCAAAGAAAAAGTACAAGTGATCAAATAGTTTGACCGGCGCACATAGGTACAGACACTGATTACAATAATCTAATATTATTAATCAATCAATCACAGTGTAGGTACAAATTTTACTCGTGTCGATATCAAACTCACTACGGACTATTGAACGTTGTTTTTCCAAGAAAAGTAAATGTCCGCGAACTGCCGGCAAGAATCTGCTTTTTAGAAAATTAGAGAACTAATAGAAAATGCACTTATTGCGTGATTAATGAAGGAAAAAGAAAATTTCTATTGTAAGCAAGAAGCTTCAGCTCTTTCTTTATCGGAGCTAACACATCGACTAATCTTAAAAATATTTTAGATTTTATCTCTTATATTGCCGTTTGGTATCTATAGCCTGCGGCAACAGGGCGACCGGCGGTGGGGTTATTTACTTTAAAATCTTCACAAAAGAAGGCATAAAAACTTGCTATTTTGCTTGCCCAAATAATAGTTGACCTAAATAATATATTCTTGCTTTTTGATTTTGTGAATATGAAATAATATAATTTTCTAGAGGAATATTAAAGAATCTCCAACACAAACTATTAGGATTGAGATATTTTACCTTGAGCTTTCATCGAATGGTTGCACTTTCAGCTGCTTGTTTCCAAAATAGCATCTGTAACAAAAAGAAAATATATTGATACTTATCTTTTTTCGATATTGCAATAGCCCACACATCCAGATAAAGTCAACATAGTTATAGGCCTGAGCCAAAAAAATAATAAAACATCTTCAGTGAGGTCCTAAATCAACTGGGATCAAGGCTCGACCATAGCATCAGGATTAGATCTCTCGAGAAAAGTTTATCTTTTGAAAAATATCAGTTTCGTTCCTTCGACGGCGCGAAATTCCCTTGACCTTTAAGGGATATTAAATCACCTACCATGCTTAATTAAATTTCAGACGAAGATTGGATCTTGTAGCTTTAACGAGATTCTATTTGGAATGTAACAAAGACAAAGACCATTTTGTTTCCAAAAAAAATCATAAATTAGTTTTTAATTTGAAACTTTTATCCCCTACTTAGTTCATAATTTATGAGGTAATGAGAGCAAGGGTATTATAGGAAAATCAATTTCGAAATTCTATTTTTAAGCTTAGAATTAGGGCTCTGACATAGTTTTAGGTATATTTAAAATGTTGGCTTAATAAATGAGAATGCGTTTTCTGTTCCCAGCAAAGTTCCATAACAATTAAAAGAAGGTATTTTTAAATATGAAATAGCTATTCAAAACATGTCTTTCATTAAATTTTTTGTTTCACAATCAGTTTGGGATGTTGGGATAAACTGTTCCTAAAGTAGAAACAATTTGCACCAGCCCCAATGACAGTCGGTGCTCGATTTTTTTTTTCCTTTTTCTCTAAGGGTTTTTCCATTTTGGAAACGTTTCCGCTCGCACCTGAAAGCTTTTAATCCCTTAATTAAAGCTTCCTGCACCGTATCCATTAAAAGGTCAAAAATATTTCCAATCAAGCCCCGGGAAAACGTTCCATTTAGGCAATTTTTTTTTTCTGTTTGATTTAGGGACTGGAATTTGTTAATGATTTTATTATTAAAAATTTTAATGATAATAAAAAGCTATTCAGATTAGACCTCGTCCAAATAGAATATAACAAAAAATTAAGTTGCTTTAGGGCCAAACTATGGACTGACTGGTAAACGTCTGGTTGTTACCTAGCAGGTACTTTCTATGCACTAGAGAATAGAAGGTACCTGCTAGGTAACAACCAGACATTTACCAGTTGGTCCATAATTTGGCCCTTATAAGAAGTTTTTGTGACGTATAGACATTTCTATTTAACACATCATTGCATTTGAGGTAAAGAATCGATTTTTTCTCTGGAAAGTTATTACTCATTTAAATTCAAAGGGTTGCAGCCTGCTTCATTTCTTTATTTCGGCGCCTTATTCCTTCTACCTTGTAAAATATCGCATAGTCGTGGTTGTATCTAGGTCAGTAATAACTCCAAGTGGATGATTTAATGTAGGAAATATTTCTAGGGTCGGGAGCAGCCAGCCAGCATTTCATTACGTTGTAAAATGATAGAGCTGAAAAATTGTACGTTGAACTAGAACTTAAGACCTAGAGGGATATAAAGAATATTACTAAAATAATAGTGTTTTTGATTAAAATAGGTTTGTGTACGTTTACCGTTAATATTTTCAGTTAATTTATCTGAATGCATGACAAGAAATTAAATATTCTATAAAAGTAATAGGCGCTCGATAAATGTAATGAATGCCCGATATAAAATTTACATGCCCGTTAAAATTATAAATATTCGATAAAAATAATATAGGCTCAATAAATGTAACGAATGCTTGGAATCAAATTTTCCTTATTATTAAATATTTGTTAAAAAATAATACAGGTTTGATTAATTTTGAGGAATGCTCAGTACCAAATTCCGATCTGTGTCAAAAGTAAGAGAAAAATCTAAATTCGCATAATTCCCATCAATATTTGGTACAGAGTAAGTACAAGTTGTGACAAAACTTATGCAATTTCTAGGGTAATTTAAAGTTTTTGTTACTTTGGGTTAGTATTGGTAAGTTTGGGTTACTTTGACCTACCCTCAGGGGCTCACACCTAGTGAGAACGGGAGCTGGCATTCTCGAGGCACCCTAGCTGCATCTAGACCGTCCTTCAACTTGTCTTGGGTCTAATCCCTGCTTTCTTCTTTCCCCCTCGATGTCCCTTGATCAACTCTTCTTTTCCAGCCACCGACGCTATTAGAGCAATTTGAGGGCTAGGGAGTTTCTCTTTCAATTATACTTCTATCTCTCTTCAAGAAACAGTAAAAAATGATGGACCAGGCTACGAAAGTGAATATATAAACGGAGCAGGGGGAGATACCCCATTAACGGCCGGTGTGTTTGGAAGTGCAGGCCAAGCCCGACCGTCATCCAGTAGATGTACAGTGCCCCAGGTAGGGCACCAGGCCAAGGCACGGATGAACATGACTGGAACACAACTTGAGAGGTTCAGAAAACCCGAAAGGAGTCACTCGATCACTTTTGGTAGTGAAAGTATGAAGAGAAGCTTCCTAAATACCTCACTCGGAGCAGAAGAAAACAGAGGCACAGATCCTTACAAGAAAGAAAAAAGAATACCCTGGGGCTTTTATGCTAATTGAAGCAAAGGATATGAAAATAAGTTTGATCTAAAAATTAGAATGAAACATAGACAGAAACACCAAAAAGGAAATAAAAGACATTAAAATTAAGCTGAAAAGGCAAGCGAACGCTCTGAATACGTCAATAGTAACAGAGTGGATAGAGAAACATAAACTGGGAGAAGTCACTAAAATTACTTTTGACACGGAAACGCAAACAGAGCGATAAGGTAGAGAAATAAGCACACAGACCAGGGAAATAGATGCGACAATTGAAACAAGAGAATGTAAAAACTTTCAGGAAGGATCTCTCAGAACTAAACTGGGATGAGTCAGCCTACAAGATCACGAAACTCACTGAGGGCAACCCGGTCGATAACAGAGATGAGAGTAAAAAAGTAATCTGTGTAGGCGAAGATAACCCAGAGATGGAGAGGGGCATCCTAAAGCAATACAGAGAGAGATACCCAGAACTACTGGAAATTAGGGAGGACATTGGCACTTTAGAACAGAGGTTCAGAATTAAAGCCGGAAAAACAGAACAGGAAGTCAAGAAGAAACTCATGAAACTGACATACAGAAACAGCCAAGAGGATCTGTATGAAGCTATAAAAAAGCCAAAGCAGAAACGGAGGAAAAGTAGGAGCTAACTATACACCAGGTGGAAATAGTGAGCAAATAAATGATGAGGAAAATGTTGGAAGCAGTCTTTTTTGGCTCAGAGGTGAGGGTACACCCCTACTGCAAAAAGGACAAAGTGGGAAGCAACGGTTCAGAGGAAAGACAGACCTACGCAATGATAGTCAATGACAACTCAATACCATACCAGGATACCCTCAGACAAATAAAGGAATCCCTCAGAGGAAAAGAAGAAGGCAGCTCAATTCGGGGAATCAGAAGCACAAAAGAGGAAAAGCTACTGATAACTATGAAGAAATGCCCGTCACATTTGTTATCATGTCTCATGACACAAAAGTTTGCACTGCACAACAGCTTCAAAACCAAAACTATCATTTCCAGTTTTTGTTTCTAGTAGTTTATAGTCATCGCATAAAGTATTTAGTAACTTAACTACTTCTTCCCTCATTTTGTTGTGTAGGCACAACAAAAAAACAGTTACCACTAAACACCTTTAAAAACAACAGCTCATAGAACATAAACAAACCGCGCAAGTTAGCTAAACGCAAGACCTTTATTTGTTCCAAAGGAAAACAATCGTTTATCAAACGTTTAGATACTTTGTACTGAATTGGCATTTGATTGAAAAGGCGTAGAAAAAAAAAAACAGCGCGTCGCGTCTTGCAAACCCCCACAAAATACCGAACGCATCTTGTCTGCACCGCGCTGGGGTTTGGAAGACGATGAACGGCATTATTGAATAACAAATCCAAGTTCATTTCAGAACAATGTTGCTCTGAAATCAACGGGGGTTCGTAATTACGCTGCCCGGTAGCAGTCTGAAGTGTGAAACAGCTACTAGAAAGTACTGAGGGCGGACTAGGAGGCTAATGCAAGATTTTGGATGAGAAGGAAAAAAGTGAAACAATCATAATAAGAGGAATGGACGCTTTGGCAGACAAGAAGGAACTACTGAATGCGCTTAGGGACAATATTAAGGACATCAACGCCAAAACTTTTAAAATAAGTGAGCTAAGACCGGCGGCGGCGGGAGAGACGCAAGCGGCAAGCATAAAAATAAATAAGGAAGACGCGGAACGCGGAACTACTACTGAAGGGAAAAAGACTTGGAGTTGGATATGTAAACTGTAAAGGCGGTTACACACGGACGTGAATGTCTGAAAAAACATGTACGCACATACATGAACGCGCAAACAAAAACATCAATGTGTATGCAAAATACCGTCGCGTTTTTGAATGTGCAAACTGTAGAATGACACTCAAATGAATTCTGGAATCGGTAGAAATTTTGTATGCACACTCAGAATACTGTAGCAAGAGTAGCAAGACTAACAGTTTTGTGCGAGCGTCTGTACAAAAGTGACATGCACGTTGTTGTTTGCACCGTGATGTATGCACATATATGTATCAAGCCATCCACGTCCGTGTGTAACCGCCTTAAAGTAGAAAGAAAAGTAAACCTTCTCAAATGCAACAAATGTTGGCTGTACGGACACATCCGCAAAGACTGCAGGTCCTGACAGGTCCTACCTCTGCTTTAATTGCGGCGAGGTGGGTCACGTATTGAAGGACTGTAAGAAAGATAAAAGGTGCCCCATATGCGAGAAAGATGGACATTGCGCAGAGACAGGACTCTGTACGGAATTCCGAAAAAGTCTGGTAGAAGCGAGAAGAAAAGAGAAGTTCCCCTCTACCATACAAAATGTATAATCAAACGAGAACCGAAATACTGCAGCTAAATCTAAACGGATGAAGAGCGGCGCACGACTTACTCCTAAAGACAGCAATTGATGATAACATCGACATCATTATCGGACAAGAGTCCAATGTCAAAATCAAAACCCAAGATTATTGCGATGCG